CCCCCGGGCTGTTGTCTTTGCGTAGCATGAGGCCCGGAACCTGGAGTGACATGTGTCTAAAGTGGGAGCGGCCACAGGGCAACGGAGAACTAGGGGCTGAGGCGTGGGTCACACAATTCTGATCTCGCAACTGCGAGCCAGGGAGAAGTACGGGCCTCGGGGCTCTGGCCTGAGCCTCTCATTTCCTCATTTCCTGTGATTGCCTCCGAATCCAGGAGCGTTTACACAAGCGAGCTGCTTCTCTCTTCCTCTTACAAGTCCGCAGACTAGGGGAGGGAGAGGTTGTGGTATATAATATATATGGCTAAGCCCATTGTTGCTGTGACAATTGACTCTTGGAGAAAATATTTTAAAATTTTTCGAAGAGGAAGCCACAGTTTCTTTGAGTCAATAACAATTCAGTGACCCAAGTTTCGACCCTAATTCTCCCGTTGAGATACACTGAAATGTTCAAGAATCCATTGAAACATGAAACCTTGTCGGACAGCCTACATTCTCGGGGATGCTTAACCAGGACAGCTGACGCCAGCTCTTTCCCTTTGGGGTGGGGACTTTGTTCTGGGCTCTAAACCTGGTCAGAGGGGGTGCTGAGGGCTCGACCCCATTCTCTTCCCCCACCGCCCTGCTCCGGCTCCGGCTTTTGTTGTGAGCATCACAGCCAGGGCGTCCGCAGAGGCTGGCAGCACTTCCCGCAGTTTGTAACGTACTGCGCCACAATCCAGGCAGCAAAGCTGCACTTGCGCTCTAGTGCTGGAAGCTCTCAGGAAGCGGCTCTGCTCGGATGTTTCTTCGGGAGGTCTGGACACTGGCGAGAAGATTATAACTAGCGGAACTTCCGCAGGGCGTAAGTTATCAGAGCGGTGAGTGGCTGATTAGAAATTTAAAAGGTTGAACACAGCAGGCCCCAGCGAGATTTGAACTCGCGACCCCTGGTTTACAAGACCAGTGCTCTAACCCCTGAGCTATAGGGCCCTACAGCTACCCGCTCGCCTTCTTCCTTTGGAAAGGGAGGATTTTATATTGGGTTTTATTAAAGTATCTGTATGTACACAGCAAACAAAACCCGGACATCGTTTCAATCTATTTCCCAACTATTGGAACTCAGTTTGTAGGCTCTTGCTGGGGATAGCGCAATATGGGGGCAGTGACAGGAACCTCCACTATTTTAAAATCGCAGAAATCTGCCCAACCCAAAACAGTGAAACATCTCTCCTCACCCTCTGCAGATTGTGAAAAATTAAGAAGGGGAACTCAGAATAGAGAAGGTTGCAGACCACAGATCTCTCAAATGAAACCCAGATATCCGAACTTGGTTTTCATCTTGACTCAGGACATTCACCGACCTGCAACCGCT